CTACTACTACTACTACTACCACTACTACTACTACTACTACTACTACTAGTAGCAGTAGTAGTAGTAGTACTACTACTACTACCACTACTACTACTACTACTACTACTACCACTACTACTACTAGCAGTAGTAGCTGTACGTAGTAGCAGTAGTAGTACTAGAGTAGAGCAAGAGCGGTAGCGCTAGCGGTAGCAGAATCAGGAGCAGTCAGAGCTGCAGCAGCAATGGTCTCAGCAGATCGACCTGCAACTGCAGTGACAGTGGAAGGATTCGATAGCGTTAATATTGGAATGCGACATTTCGAGCTGTTGCAGCCATAAGCCGAAGAGTAATTTCAACACTGAGGTGTTATAGCTGTCCGTATGATGAGATGCAATCACCATTTTGCCCCAACAACTTGTTGTCGTTGATGTTTCGGTCGTGAGTATGGCGAGGCAAAGGGCGGAACGGCAAAGGCATGAAAGGCATGGGCAAGGGCTTTGGAGGCCAGGGAAGATACAACATTTCACGTGTTTCATGATATGGTATATCCTAAAGTATGTGTTGTATATCATATACAAATTGTTTAAAGAATGCATGTGTATGCATATATGTGTATATATATATATATGTGTGTGTGTGTGTGTATACATATACATACAGAATACTAAAAAACCGACTTTATGTGCAAGTGTATGTATATACCTGTCTAGATTGATCTCTAAGATACATCTTGCAGGATAGATAAATCATTTTTGCATCCAGGACTGGGTTATTAATCAAACATGAAGCATGAAACCCCAGTGTGTGTATATATATATATGCACGTAGATACATACATGTTGGGATGTATATGCATGTAGCTGTGACTGGAAGCCGGAAGGGCGATTCGTGGCTGGGTCGTGGGCCTCCCACATCATCGAACCTTCTGTTTGCTGCAACATACATACGTGTAGCATTTCATGGCGGCACCAGGCAAACCAATGCGTCAAACTGCTTTGCGACATGCTACACGGTAGACGTCCACGAATTTAACAAAATCTATGTTTCATCCAGTATAGTTTTCATCAATATCAGTCGCAATATTAATGCCAATGCCAATGCCACTACTATAATGCCAACATCATCTAACCTAGGTTTAGTTTAATTAAACCTAACCTACTGTGGTACAACCGAAATATAGGATAACTTAGTTTCACACCGTTTTATGTTATTTTGCATGGTGCTGGGCTGCATTATGTTATAAGACACACACGCACACACACACACACACACATATATATATATATATACGTACATAGATGTATACATTGTGTGTGTGTATGTGTGTATGCATACAGGCATACATACTTATATGTCTTCGTATATGTATATACATGTATGCATATATACAATGTATGTCTACTATTTTGTGTTGATCTATCTATGTATTTATCTGTCTATCTACTTACCTTTCTATCTATCTATCTATCTATCTATCGATCTATCTATCTATCTATCTATCTATCGATCTATCCATCCATTTATCTATCTACCTATCTATCTGTCTGTCTATCTGTCGGTCTATTTGTGTGTACATACATAGCTAAAGCTTCACCAAGCAAGGCAACAGAGTCTTCGGCCCTAAGCCAAAAAGTTAGTTCATGCAAGCTAAGCCGCTCGTAAAAACACCGAAACCCCAAAGCCCACACCTGCCTGGACCGAGTTGCGAGAGCGTGAGCCCTAAATCACCAAACCCCAGCACCGAAACCCTAAAACCCTAACCCAGCCTCATGGCTGCAGGCATGATGGACGGCATGGGTGGCGTCCCTGGCCTCGACGGTTCCGCAGCTGCAGACCGTGGTGAGCGAGTGGCTTCTTTTCGTAGGCTTTGCAGATTTTGTCGTCGGAATTTTGGTTCGGGACTTCAGTGAGGGAAGGAGGCACGGGAGATCTTGGTCTCGCAGGTGTCATGTCCGTCGACATCAACGGCCGAGAGTATTTGATGACGCAGGCTAGGCTCGGGGGGTAGGGGACAGTCGCGTGGACTCCGCAATCGCATCTGCGCTGACAGTCATTTGATCATAGTCCTGGGCAAGAAACAGTTTGCCCAAATCCCACCAAGACTCCGAACCCTGAACCGCTGTGCTGCTTTGACACAGCAAAGGGTTTCGGCCTACCGCTCAGTCTCGAGAAGATTCATGGATCATAGGCTTCAAAAGTGTTGAAGCCATCTTCTTGTTGATTGCTGAGTCCTCCTATTTTCTACTTTGTTTCTTTCGGAGCTGCCCGGTCAAGCCGCGTCCAGAGGAGGGCCTCGTCTTTGATCCCGACACGCAGATGCCGTTTGGGGTGTTGGCGGCCTAGTCAAATGCAAATCACCTCAGGGCTCAGACGTAAGTTCAGCAGATCACGGGGGTTTGCATATGGGATAGGCAGCTACCTATACCTAGAGTGTGTCTGTGTGTGTGTTTCAGTGTATGTAGACGCATGTCACATACATACTTGCATACATACTTGTATACTCACGTAATTATTTCATCGACCAGGCACATACATACACATATATGCATGCGCGTGCATGTATGAGTCATGGCATTGCCTGTGGATGCCCATGGCTTTGCCGCTTCTCTGTACGGGTTGCGCAGCCCTTCGATGATTTGGAAGTGAAGCTATGAGCTTCCAATGGATAGTCTTTAGCCTTGGCGAACTCTAAATACACCTGCAAACGCAAAATTTAAAACCCTCAAGCCAGTATCGCTACAGGCCTTGCCAGGCTTTGTCCGAGTGTGAGTGTCAAAACCCTAGCTTCTCATTTTTAGAACGCCCTACAGCACCAACACCCAACCGTGAGCTCCAAGGCGTTAGAGGTCCCGTGAGGTTCTAGTTCCTGTCATTTCCGGTCTGTCCCGAGCTGGGGAAGCCTCGAAGTTAAGCGAACTGTTTCAAGTTGGTCCAAAGTTATTTGAGAATCCCAAGGTGCGAGATCGCAAATGCCCCGAAGGTACACTGCCACCAACACACTGCACCAATCCCGAAACCGAAGCCCAAAGCCCAACATCTTGTTCTTCCTAAGGGTCTGCTTCGAGTCTCAAGTTGTTTCCCCTTCGCGGGCAGCTTTAGAGCGCACAATGTTTCACAACAGTGTAGTATGTATATATATATATATACATACATACATACATACATACATACATACATACATACATACATACATACATACATACATATGTATATATATATATATATGTACTAGACCAGGCTCCACCCGGAAACCGGCGAAGCGGGGAGCCCAGCCTCGGGGCCTGGGAGGTCCTCGGGTGTTCTTGGGATTCGGGCCCATTCTTTGGTCTAGCTATCCTTACAGTTTAGGGCTTAGGGTTTAGGAAATTAAGGCTTGGGTCGTGTATTGTGTGAAAGCCTGAAGACATGCGATAGTCGTGGTGTCAATCAGACTGTTTCCTTCGGCTGAAGAGTGAGGAGACTGTATTAGAGCAGCTGCATGAGGATGCGCAGCACCGTGGGACAAATGAGGAGAAATACCTGAGCACTGCAAGTTGAAATTATAGCAGATTCAGACACTATGTCCTGCTGGCAGTGCACCTGCAAAGGACCGCTCCCCAAGCAAGCTCGACCCACTTAAATGTAGGGTTTCTGAAAACTTGGGGGAACCTATGTATGGGTGACATTGACAAGGGCGACAGGGTCTCTGCTTAAGTGCGCTCTATTTCCTGAAACACCGGTGAGGCATCGAAACTAAAATGGCACATCTCTTAGCAGCTGGGAGGGCGTTACAGATATATACATATATATATATATATATATTCAAACAAATATACGCGTATATATATATATATATATGCACATGTATATAGATCTACACGCTTATTTACAGAGCCTTATTGGGAAACCCTAAATCCTGACAGCTGGATCGGTCCCTTATCACTCGTGAGACCGTTGCCGGAGACATTGTCAGGATTGGCCGAGTGTGGGTGCCAACTGTGGTTCGGGAAATAAATGGTTTAGGGTTTAGGGCGTAGAGACAGCTTGGAGGCACTTCAGAGAGACCTCGTTCAAAAAAGGCGTAGAGAGAGGGTTTAGAGATACCATGTGGGAAGCCATGTGAAGCTTTTCTTTAGGAGCCCTGAGCTTCTTCAATTAAATGAGGGGCTAAAAGAATTGAGCCCTTAGCTGGCTGAAGTATTGCGTTCTCGTTCTGATTCAGGGGCATGTGCGGAATGTGGCCGTAGGGTTTCATTCTGGAATACAAATCCGATAAACTGGGTGGTTCGGTGATGGAATACGCCCATAGCATGGCACGTGCAAAGCTGACCCAGGGTGTTGATACCTAACCGCCCCCCATAGAATGCGTCCGAGGTCGTTGAGATCACGGAGGACAGGATCTTTTCTGGCTTGTAGCACCTCGCGGAACCCCAAGCAAAACCAGCCTGCCATCCCCAGGTGCCAGTATTCCTATTATTCAAGTTGCTGATGGCCCGGCAGACAGAGAGAGAGAGAGAGAGAGAGATGGAGAAGTTGCTATTAACCATGTCTTTTTCAGGGCTCTCTTTTCACGCTGCTCCTGCAAAGCCCCAATAACAGGGGAGCACATCTCGGTGCGGAGGGCTTTGCTCGCCCTCTGGCCACCGTGAGTGAGTGAGTGAGAAATTGCTATTATATTCCCCAGCGCGCTGCAGCAATGTTCGCCCACCGGCAGGTAGAAGCTTGTCGCGAGCATGAAGGGTTTGTCTAGCTCCCCTCGCTGCCGCCGTCACCGCGACAGCAATGTCGCAGGACTCTCCCGCCGAGCTCCTTCGTGAGCTGCAGGCCCACAAAGTGTTGTTGGAGGAGCAGCGAAAGGAGTCGAAGCAGATGACCGAAGCCCAGGAGAGTATGCCTGGCGCCATGGATTCGGCATGGCTGGTCCTTTGCGGAGCGGCGGCGGGGGTTTAGCCGTCAATGTCCATGAGGCTGGCACGCCGTACGAGCCAACAACGCTGGTCATGTTCATGCATGCCGAGTTTGCAATGTTGGAGACCGTCTGTTGCCGTGCAAAGAATGCCTCGAACGTGTTGATGAAGTCTGTTGGCACATTGGGTTGGTGGATGTTTGGCTGGACCCTTTGGTCTCGTAGGGTCAGCTACGACATGCAATCGCACTCTCCGCCGAAGACCTATGACTTCGACACCTCGGGCATATGCAAAAGTCTTCGCAGGCATGAGTAAGCGAATTATTTGTGAGGAGCACCCAGGCGTAGATCAGCCGTGTCAAGTCTTGCTGGGGGCCGTGGCCACAGTTCTGGCACCTCCATGAACCATTGAAGCTGACACAGCGGATCAATGCCAGATGAGCCGTGATTTAGTGCAGACAGTTTGGAGGTCACATGGACACGAGCCTCTCTGCTGCCCTGCTTGGAAGTTTTGCACTTGCAGATACTGGCAGCTACCAGAAAGGCGTGCCGCTAAACCCGAGAACCTGCATTTCACGCTGTCATGACCAGAGCTCGGTGATCGAGTTGCTCGGCAAAGATGCGTGCGATACTCTTGCAGTAACCCACAGACGGAAGTCGGAATGATTCATCATAGTAGTCCCTTGAGCCCCTCCCCCTCTGCCTCCTTAAACGCTTATCATTCAGGGTCCCTACAGCAACCTCTTCGCCAGGAGATGTTGGCCGGCCTCAGTCAGATGGCCATGGTAGAGCTGAATGGAAGGACGGCGGGTTGGGTCTTCGGGACACACGAAAACTGCAAGGTTGTTCGGCAGGAGCACTGCGGGGTGCAAGGCTTCAATTAAGAGCGCTTGCAGGGCAACCTAAACCCCTAGATGCAGGGCTGAACTTATTGGCACTTAGCCTTGGGCCTGTAGATGTTCTCGTTTACTGCTGCCAAGACGAAGCAGCGAGAAAACGAAAGACAACCGCAAGTTGGAAAATGCAGACGAGGAGAGTGGTGTCGAGGAGAGTATAAGCCTTTAAAGAGAAGGTGAGACAAAGAGGGCAGCCAAGCGCAACAGGCCCTACCTTTTCGTGGGGGGCTTCCTCGTGGACCCGCAGACGCAGGCCAGAGATGTTGAGAGACTGCAACATGCTTGCAGCCTAATGTGAGCTGTATCTTTGCCACCTAAGCTGTAAGCGGACGTCCGGCAATTACCTCCGGGGTTGACGATGTGATCCCTGCCAAGCCCATTTCCAACTTCCATAATTGAAGTTGATGGCGAGCATGACGCTGGTGGGGATGAAGCTGCTCACAATAAGGTGATTCTTTTTGGCACTGGTAGTGACCGGTAGTGATAGATATGGTGGTGGTGGTGGTGGTGATTGCGCAGAGGCTGAGAATGCCTGGATGATTGCCACTGAGTCTGGTCCAGTTTGTCGGCTGGGAATCTTCGTGCCCAGTCAGCTGTCCCAACTGCGACGGCGACCATGACCACAAAGACGAACACCATTACGACTACCGTCACTGCGTCTTTCACAGCGACGGCTTTTGCCAGTGTTCTTTGCGGCGGCTACTCGTGTTTCTTCTACTAGTTGTTTCAGCGACGCCGTTGATGAAGCAATGCTCCGATCACTTCCTGATTGTGTTCATGGACCGTCACCATTCAGTGCCGGCTATGCACCTTTTGCGGAAGTATATGTTGACGATCCTTCCTTTGAGAGTGTCCCTGGGTGTGCGCACACTGCTGAACTGCAGGGTAGTGTGGAGCCCTGTCTGCCTCAGTCTGTTTGCACTGTGCTTTGGGATACCCGTGCATTTCGGTAGCGTGGTTCCGTTCCGTCTTTCGCCAGACCCTTACTGTACAGTAGCTGGTCAGTAGATCGCAGCAGTCACAATCGCGATAACCATCAGCTTGATCGTGTCTTCTGTCTCGTCAAGCACCCCCCTTCGCACGCTTCGAAAAATCTCTGGTTGATTACCTAGACCCTAAAGGACCTACCTTTTCAGGGATCCTTATTATAGTTTCTATATATTAAGTCCTTAAAAAGGTAGGTTCTTTGGGGTTAAGGTACAGCTTCACCCGTCAGGCCGTGGCTTTCCAAGTCGAGCAGGATGGCACTGTGGTGGACGCCTTGACCGGCGAGCCTTGTGGAATGCTCGAGATGCGCGGTGCCCAGGTCTTGTTTTTGTTTTGGGCTGGGGCCGGACCCTAGACCCTAAACACTAAGAGACCTGGAGCTAGATGTTGTTGCGGTTTGGGGCGGCTGGGAAGTTCAAAATCGGAAAAGTGGTCATTCTATGCGTTGCGAAGACGATGACGATCCGCGGCGGGTGTGGCAAGAGTTTGTTTCGCTTGCATGGTTATGCTTCATGTTTCCTAGGCATACGCATAGCCCAGGTGTAAAATGTTTTCCAATCCGATTCATGGTGCCTGGTTTGCAAGAATGGCTGAGAGCACTGACGAGCACGTGGATCTCCCGTAACCGGTTACATTCTGAAACTCCTACATCTAGCCCTCCTCTGCAGGGACGAGGAGCCTGTGATTCGGGCAACGTCGAGCTCAAACAAGGCACACTGTGCTTGACCCTGCCAGGCTTCTTGACGGTTGAAGCGTCTCAGAACGAAACCCCTAAACCCTAAACCCTAAACCCTAAAAGAATGGCTTCATGTGGAAGTTCCCAAGTCTGTAGAAGGCGTTTTCAGCTGAGACTTCGATCCAGAGCCCGACCCCTTCGCACGCCCCAAACGTGACACTAAGCGGTGGCCTAGGGCCTCGCCGGGGTGCCAAAGCCAAATCTTTCAGTGACGACACCAACTGTATGATCATCAGAAGAAGCAGTGAGCAAGCTAGCTTCCCTAAATCTTGAGAGCAGCTCCAGAATATTTAGAAGCACTCCAATACGAAAGAATCAGACTAAACCGCTCACCACCCTATGAAACTTCTCGTGTGGCATCAGAGGCGCAGTCTCAAAAATCCTCACGCCCGGGGCAGAACAGATCAGCCTTCAACTTCGAGGACGAGGCAAGGAGAGAGGAGGGTTCAGCTTTTGAGTCCTGAGGCTGCGAAACTCAGAGCTCCAGGATCGCTCCGCTCTGTCTCAGACTTTTCTGGCTCCCGGCTTTGCAGGAGCTTACCTTGGGAATGTTCATAGGGTTCGAAGAAGTGATGAGCAATCAGCCCGAGAGGCTGAGCGCGACTATGGTTTGGGAGCCATGGGGCTTTGATGGCGAAGCTTAAGGGTACTGTAGGTTCGAGTCTAAAGAACTGGCGGTCTGCATGGCTACTATAGTGAACGGTTGAATTCCTCGTGGTCCCAGTGTGTTCGATTTATGGGCGGTTCCTATATTACATATTAGGTTGCGTTTTTCCGTCACCAGACGGGCGTCTGGCTGCCTTCCGTCGACTCGTATTTGCTACAGCGGCAAAACTGCAAGCCGAGCTCGGGTGAGTTACCGTCCTGCCTGCAAGCTCTGCGCCGGAGAGACTAGCAGAAGAGGGGCTCTGGGATGGTTGCAAAAAAAGCCAAAGACAAAAGCTCCCTTGCCGGCCTAGTGCGAGCGAAACCCAAAGCCCTGAACCTTGAAGCATCCCCGACTTCGAATCCTGAGACCTCATACGGCTTGTCGGATTTGTGAGCGCATCCTAAAGACCCACTTGAATGAAGAACCGCCTGCTGCTCAGAACTTGGACGCTCGCGGATGGTCCGACAGGGCCAGGGAGCTCATGGCAGACGACTACTACTACCAGGCGGGCCTAATGATTTTAAGTGTTCAGAAACAACCAGCCAGCCAGCTTGCGAAGAGGTTTCAGTCCTCTGTGATTGTTGACCTGTCATGGCGGGAATGGAGATGGTAGAGACACAAGCAATGCTGCTGATGGTTACGCGGGTGATGAAGCTGGCGATCGCGATGTCCATGCGATTGCTACAGCTACGATGTGCTATCCTGCAACCCCTTATAGTGTAGTGGTGTTTGCGGTGGGGCTCTGGTGGCGATCGAGGACTGTTGGCGGCCAGCGTGAGTTCACGTGGTCGGTCTTTTTGCAGTCATTCTAAGATTCTTCATGTGTGGCACGAACATTTCGGGTGCTCTGCAATTCAATTGTCTTACAACCCTGCTAAGTGTGTGTGTGTGTGTAGAGGTATGCTTCGGGTGACATGGGCGAGGAAGCTTTTGTTTGCAACATGTAGAGAAGCGTGCTTTCAAATCGCAAGCCCAAATATCAGCACGGAGTTTTCCTGCAATCACAGCCCTGTGTCATACATTTGTCACGCCTTTGTACCCACATCAGTGCAGTGTCTGAGGAAGCACACGGTTGGTCGCAGATTCCATGTACTAGGAAGGCTCAATCGCGACCGTCAAAACTATACAAGCAATACTTCTTGATTCAGGTTGCTGGGAGACATGATACATGGTGTTAAAACCTCTGTGCCTTAAACTTAGAGGGCGAACAGTCCCACGCAGCAAGAAGTTCAAGGCAGCTGCGGCTTTCGGAGAGGACCGGAGCCCAGGTTGTCTCGTGTGGCCTTGCTGTTGGGGCGGAGGGCATGCTCAGGCAAGCCGTGTAGGCGATTTTCCGATGCACCCTTGCCAAAATTGCAAAGGCTTTGAAGTGCTGCGAAGAAGAGAGGGCGGCCGGGGCCCACAGGATTCTGGGTGGGAAGATCCATGAGTCCTGTCTTGCTCTTTTTGTTTGGCATGTCTTGGCAGAAGGGCTTTCCGGATTTTGCGCAGCAATAGACGGCCCAAGACTTGACCCTCGATTCGTGCGCGCGCCATGGGCAACGGTCCGCTGGCCGCAAATGCTGGGCAGCTGAAGCCTGTTCCTGGTGAGGTGTCTTTATGCATCGCTTGCCTGGCAGTCTCTAAGGCAACATCACCATGGAGAAGAAGGGTGAGGGCAAGTACGTGGAGATATCCGATGAGGATGGACAGATCAAGCGCATCGTTCGTGAGACTGGCAGCTTTCGATGCAATCCAGGTTGCTGCAAACTCCACTTCTCTGCAAATTACGGAGCTGTTCTTGGTCGCAACAAAGGCGACAGGGTACCGGTCAAGCGGATCTTCTGCAAGATCTCCGATGTGCCTGGCTTAACATGGTGCACATGATGTGTTCCGATGCGCCACAGGAGAATCTACGCCTTTGGACCGGGTGTTGATAGTACCACTTTTGCTCTTTCCTGAGTCTCAGACATGACCCCTGGCATGGCCTACGAGCTCCAAGGTTTGCTCGGTGTCGCAGAAGTTGGAAGAGAGCCTTAGCCTGAAAGCCTGGAAGAGCTTCGCGCTTGGGTTTGAACGGTTTGAATGGTTTGGGGTTTAGGGAGCCAGGTACCTACTATATAGGGTACTAGAGCCCCTATAGAGGGCCCTATATATAGGTGGGCTCCAACCTCAAGGCATGAGCCAGTTTCGCGTGGAAGCTTTGATTCTGAAGTCAGGTTGAGTGTTCCTGGTACAGTAGAGCTTTTTGGGTGCTGAGCGGAGAGAACCGGGTTACACAAGCACATCCTTGCAGAGGCATTTTTTTTCTCCGACGGCACTTGGCAGCAGGACTCCAAAACAGCTGATCGGTTCAAGCAGAGCCATGACACGCACACGCGAGTCCCAGCAAGAACCAGTCGGCATGTCAGGTGGCACGCACAATGCATCTAAGGAGTGATATCGTCTTTTCTCTGGAGAATGGGGTGGAGTACGTCTTGGACAATTTGGCCCCTCGGTTGTTCGGCGAGCCCATGACTAAGGTGCTTTGTTGCATTGTGATGTCTTCGGGGCATTGGCAAGTTCGGTGGTGACAATCTTGGGCTTGGTTGGAACGCCAACCGGCTTTTGCAAGCAAGTTTACGAATCCGAGTCCAGCACCCCCCAAGCCAAAACGCTCTTTGTTGCTGATTGCCCACCTTAGATAAGCTTCAGTGGAGAAGGTTCGGAAAAGTCCGCACCGTCAGCTTGCGAGGAAAATCCCGACGAGACCTACTTGCAGCCATCGCCTTAGTCACTCTGTGAACATGTTGCGCCTTTGAAATGACCCTAAACCCTAAGCGTTGCAAGGCCTTGAGTTGAAAGTTTGCAGATTCCCAGCTCGAGGATTCCATGAAGGAGACTAAACTCGGACAACCTTCGCAAGTTCTGTAGTGATGGCGAGGTATGACGAGGTAATTTTTGTTTTTTTGCGGGAGGGTGGGGGCAGGGTGCTGCGCCCTAATACCTATACCCTAAACTTCATCCAGGCAAAATGCCTACACAGCTGTAGCGACTACTGTAGCAAAAGCATCCGTCTGTGCCAAACGGACCGTCTTCCTGGTCAGTTTGGTACAGACGGATGCTTTTGCTAGTCGCTACAGCTGTGTAGGCATTTTGCCTGGATGAGTGTGCAGCATCGTACAGATGTTAGTTGTGGTTGCTCATTGCTCGTTGCTGACTTTCGCCATTGGATGTGTGGAGCTTATTTTTGGGTATAATTCATTGTTGAGAATGCAATGAGTCATGAGCAGCTTTCGAGAGGTAACGGAGCGCATGCAGTTGTTCTGGTCCTATGCTAACCTCGCCTGCTAGCTTTGTTCTCTGCCATGCGAGAGGGAAAAAATACCCGAAGCTTACCCTATCACCTGAACTCTCCGAGTGCAGCATGCATGCAGCTCATTTATCTGATAGATTTTGCTATAATTAGTATTTCGCAAGAAACACTGTTCTGCTCGCTAACGCCCCTAGATTGTCATCTCACGCCGTACCGGCTGTACCATCTTGCTACACTTGCCCTTCAGACGATGTTACTGCCGTTGTGCTGCAGTCTTGTCTTACACAACAGCTAATCATGTAATCACGCATGAATCCAGCATGAGTCGGAAGTAGTGGGGTGGCGAACTAGTCGCAGGGATGACTGCTTCTTCACCTCGCCTCACCCCTAAACACGTAACGCTTAAGAGCCCCGAGGTTCACGCAGTTCATCGTGGACGACTGAGATCGACCCCGAGTTCCGAAGTCTAGGGGGCAAGTGCGAACCGGCACAAGCCTTCAGACCAAACGAGTCTTAGGGCTAGAGGGTTTAGGGCTACGAAGAGCTGCAGAGTGCAGCTGTAGTGCCATGTGCAGTGCTCGATGGGCCTCTGAGATGGAATCCTTCTTGGAGAATGAAGGCCCTGCTGGCTTCCAATCGGTTTCATGAAATATAGGGGCTTTAATTGTGTCGAATGTTATTCCTTAGGGTTCCTTACTTTCATATAATCCCGAACCCAATTCTAATCTTTCAGGCCCCTATGTTACCAGCCTGCAGTCGACCCGTGGACTTCAGCTGGGCAACAAAAAGAGTTGGGCTTCGGATGCCTGGGTTTCGGGCTTCTCTGCCCGAAGTTCGGGTTTAGGGTTTAGGGCTTCGTTGTAGGGTTTAGAGTTTCGGTTTAGGGTTTAGGGTTCATGGTATTCCAGGCGTTGCTTCCCGGATGCAATAGTCTGGAAGTGCTGCTTCCCAGCTGATGGGCAGAGTCTGGGTTCAAACAAAAACAAAACCGGTATTCAGTGGCAATTTCGGCAGGTGTGCAGCTTTTGCCAGCATGAGCTCCGGTTGACTCAGTACATCATTGAACAGAGGGCGCAGTTTTGCATAAGACCCTGCTCATCCGGATCCCAAGTGTGGAAAGTTGAAAGCTCTATCTTCTAAGGCTGAACTTTTATATACTATAACAGTAACATACAACAAGATACTATAATAGACTCCTGAATACCATCATACTATGCTATACTAAAAGCCATACTATCATGTAGTGTTCAGGCGGATAGAGCCCCAAAAATCCGACCTTGGTCCGAGGGGTCTCGCCTAAACCCTGCAGCAGCCCACAAAGTTTCAGAAGTTGAGGGTTTAGGGGGTTTAGGGCTTAGGGTTTAGTAGGGTACAGGGTTTAGGGTTTGAAATTAAGCCTGTGTAGAAAGAGGGCTTAGAGTTTCAGTTGATCCGTTGTTCAGTCTGGGGTGCCGGGTCGGCGCCTCGGTTCCTGGCATATGCAACCGTCCTGGGAACAAACGAAAACTGCAACCCAGCATAAACTTGTATAAACCCGAATCTCTGCAAGCTGCACCGTACTAAACCCTAAAGTCCAAAAGGCAAACCCTGATAGATCCCTTTTAAAACCCTTTTCTGATCCCTTTAAAGGAAGCCTAAACCCTAAAACCCAAACGCCCGAAGCGTTCACTGCAGGTCGAGCTCGACTTCGAGTGTGATCTCTTGCGTGGCCGTGCCTTCTGTTTCAGGAAGCCAGGGGTTTGGGTTTAGGGTGTTGGGATTAGGGGGTTTTGGGGTTACCTGGTTGCTGGGCTTCATGCAAAAGGGTGAGCGAAGGCTTCGGATTTGGCAGGATGTAGCAAGAAGCCATCATTAGGGCTCTCTTGGGCCAGAACCCTGAAGATACGCTTTCTATGGATTTTGAGAAGCTCTACAGATACCCTTGTAGCACCCCTGACTTCCAGTACACCGAAAGGTTTGAACCCTTACAGATATCCTCAACGGAACCCTCAACGAGAGCCCTTATAGCCTTATGGATACCTTCATAGTTGCCCAATAGGTGTCCTTATACAAGCCCTGGTTGCGAGGAAGATGCGTGAGTTCAAGTCGCTCCTCGAGGATGCCGAACGATTGCTCGGCTACGATGCTGACGACAAAGAGGCAAGGGGTTTAGGGTTTAGGGGTTTAGGGTTTTTAATCCCAAAGGAGCCTATGTACCATTATGGGGGATACTTCCCTGATTCAGAATAGTAATTCCTAACATAGAAACCCTAGTATTTAGGGTTTAGGGATTAGGGAGGGCCGGCACCTCGGCCCGTGGCTGAAAAAGGGAATAGGGAGGGCTCAGGGCCTAAGAGTACTGTCACCATGAGAGTTTCTTTATGAAAGGGATACTTTTAGCGTTCCTATCAGGGTTGCTACAAGGATTCTCTTTCAGGGTAGGGTTGAGGAGTTAGGGTAGCTACTGTAGGGTTTCGGCTTCGGGGCTTCAGGACCTCAAACCCAAAAACTTAGCAGAACCCGAGCTTTTGACAGGTCGAGGAAGTAGCGTGCGATAGAGTCTGGATGTTGTGACTTCGCGTTGCTCCTGTGCTTGAAAGACCCGACACCCTACTGACCCTAGTGAGTGGATTCGCCGGGATCTTCGCCAAATGGCGGTTCTCCTGCATGTCAAGAGCCATTGCCTTGGCACTCCAGTAAGCGAGGGTACCTGGAACGGGCATCACCCAGCAAGGATAGAATATGAAGCACGTCTTGCCAAGCTTGAACAACATCTCAACGAGCCGTGCGAAAGTCACAAAGCTTATAGCCTACTGCTTGCATTAGAGTTGCTTTGCTCGTCTTCGCAGGTCAAGCACGAAGTATGCTAATGTTACCTGAGCTTCGTGATGAAGCAAGACGTCTAGAATGTTCTGAAGGTATGACACGACGCTGAACCTACCGTAGGTTTTAGGCCGATGCGTATGATGCTGTAAATGATTTTTCCTCTAGACTAGCCTGGCCTGGTGCACAGTTCCCCCCCACATTTACCCAATCGATCTGGTAGCTTCGACGTAGGGAGACAGGCCTTGGGATGCTGTGTGTTGTGATATCTATCTATCTATCGATCTATCTATCTATCTATAGAAGCAGCCAGTGGGTTCCGTTGGATTGAAGGGTCCTCAAGTAGCGCGACAGCAAGACCGCAAGACCTCGGCTAGCACGGTCCGAGTTGTGAGAGCATAAACCCCAAGCTGTGGGCAAAATTGAGTGCTTTTAGGGTTCAGGGCTTACCTGTTCAAGAATACTCTACGGTCGAAAATTTTGGGCTTAAAGCCCTCAGCCCTGGGGGTGAACAAGTCCCGAACACATCCCAACGCCGCCCTTTGCAGGCAAAAGAATGGAGAGACGTGGCCCTGGCCGAGATGAGTCCGGGATCTCGGTCTATCCCCTGAGGTCTGCTACTGGGGCTTCTTTCTCTTAACGTCAGGGTTACCTTATCTACATGTATATACGGTATGCTCTTGCTGCTGTTGCGGGCTTTATCTGAAGGGGAGTGAACACAACTTGACTCAAATTGAGCAATACGGCAAAAGTCTGTAGCGGCGAACAGGAAGAAATAAACCCGCCGAGATGACCGTGCAATGTTGGCTGCTTAGCCTAAACGGAAATCACTTAAGCCCCTAGTTATGCCGTCGGACAGAGACACCCTTCAGCACTGGGGGCCAGGCATGACATACCCTGCATGACTTCAGCTTCTTGAACTGGTGTGGGCATGTCGGGATATTGTTTCGGAAAGCTACCACAAGCTGGAACGTATGTGTGACGGTCAGCTGGCGACGGGCAAGATGAGATCTTCGAGATGTCGGAAGCACCGACTAGCCCACTGAGTCAAGAAATCTTAGAACATGGTACTCAGCTAGATCCTCCAAGCAAACCACAGCATCGCCAGCACCTTTTCAGGCCCTCCCCCGTATCTGCTCATCCTCTTTTGCCTCGACACAACTGACCCAGGTTCTGGCGGCGCCAGACGGTGAGGGCAGCAGTTAGGACACAAATGCTGTGCTCAAAGCCGCAGATAATGATCTCCACCTTGCTATACACACCTTCCGGCCCGTTCTCAAGCTCCAGCAATTCCAAAATGTTGTTGCGGGATGGTTGGCTGTATGATTAGGCTATTTTTGCAAGTTGTGCTTCGAGCTCCAGAAGCTTTAAACCTCGAGACAAGAGTGCTCACATTTGTTCAGTGGCTCAGGCGAGGCAGTCATATTTCGGTTGAGGGCCTGTGGCGGACAAGATTTCCAGCTGCTGGTGTGCTCATGCAAAGAAGGGGCCTGAATAAAGGGGCTTCCTGACATATCTATACCAGCCTTTATACTTGAAGAACCTCCCAAACCCTACTCTAGGTTTGAGGGTTTACGGCCATCTCAAGACAAGTCGAGAGTCCTCAGCCACCGCTGTTCGCCATGACTGGCAGATCGCCATCAAGCCTTTGTGTCGTAGACTCGAGTGGTTTCGTGGATGGACCTGCCTCCGACGACATGGGATTTGTATTACCGCTCTAACCACGTATCTATCGATCTACGCATCTAGCCATCTACTAATCTATCCATCTATGTATTCTATTCTTTTCTATCTATCGATCTATCCTATCTGTCCTATCTATATAGTCCACCCATCCATTTGTCCACCTGCCTATCTGTCTTTCTATCTATGTATCTCTCTCTCTCTTCTCTCTCTCTCTCTCTCTGTCTCTATCTATCTATCTATCTATCTATCTATCGATCTGTTAATCTTCTCTCATCTGGTCTAACATAATCGATCTATATATCTACATGTCGAGTGTGCAAAGTATTATACGCAGCTCCATGTATTGACGTATGTCCAAAAACAAGCATACATACATACATACATGAAAAAGTTTTCAATACTGTCAGGCAGACAGACGGACGTCTAGATGTATCTATTTCCAAGGTGTTTCTAGTTCAACAAGCTGTTCTGTTCTTCGGATGTTCGCCAGGTGTTGGTTCTACAGAGGTATTGCTATGGTCCCGGCCGTCACACCGCTCCGTTCTTCGATGACGAACTGTACGATGATTCCGCGAGACTGATTGTTGAGGGTCTTTTGCAGGGGTTTCGAACTTTAGGCTTTATCTCAGGTCCCCTAGTTTGATTGCGCCATGCCTTGCCAAGTGCTTGATTGCTGCTGGGGCTGTTTCAACAGCCACAGGTGAGCCTGCTCGGCAGTACCTACTGTATGCTGGTACATCGTGTGCTGATTTTGCTTACTACTTCTGAAGTGTGGCAGTTCGCTTGTTGGTACGAGCCTGTTGGTGTTTGAACTTCTGTTCCGTTTTCCGGACTCAGCATTCAAACTGTAACGGCTCATGTAGCGGCTGACCGGTCATGGCTGTTATCTGATCATCAAGTCATGATCAGAGCAGACGATGAGATGTTGTTGTTGCCAACGCCTTCTTGCTACGGTTATACATTCGTCCATGCCAGCATCAACATCTGTTGATTGGTTTTAATGTTGTTGTCTTTATCGTTGTCGTGGTGGTTGTCGTCGTCGTGGTGATGGTGATGGTGATGGTGATGGTGGTGGTGGTGGCTGTGGCTGTGGCTGTGGCTGCGGCTGCGGCTGCGGCTGCGGCTGCGGCTGCGGCTGCGGCTGCGGCTGCGGCTGCGGCTGGGGCTG